CCTTCCCTTGGCTGGAATGCCCTGCTCTCTCCCTCTGGTCTTTCCCGAAGGTCTCCCTTTGCCTCACATCCCTCCCCCCCCGGGGGGCCTTGAAACCGCCAGTCCCAGCCCCCCCAGTGCAGCCTCCGGAACAACTCCCCTTCCTGGGAGCCTGCTTATGGCTCCCATCAGTGGTCAGGGAGCATGCTGTGGGCTCCTGGTTGCTTCCAGCCTCTGCCTAACCCTCCAGCCCTCCGCTCTACCTCTTCCTCTTCTCCCTGCCCCCAAAGCTAAGAAAAAAAAAAAAAAAACAACTATCCCAAACCCTGTTGCCATGGAGTTGATTCGTTCTCATGCACTCCCATGTGTTACGGAATAAACTACTACCTACAGTTTTCTCGGCTGTGATCGTCACAGACGCAGATGACCAGGCATTTCTTCTGCAGCATTGCTGGGTGCGTAACCCACCAGTCTTTAAGCGAGCAGTCGAGCGCAAACCCCCCAGGGACCTTCCCGAAGCCCCAGCCTCCTCATTTCCAGCATCTTTCTGTGCTTGTGTTATTTCCTCTGCCTGCCCATCCCTCCTCTTTTCTGATTTGTTCCCTTCCAATGAGGTTTCAGGAGCCCTGGTGGCTCAGTGGTTAAGTGCTTGGCTGCTAACTGAAAGGTGGGTGGTTCAAACCCACCAGCTGCTCTGCGGGAGGAAGATGTGACAGTCTGCTTCTGTGACGATCACAGCCTTGGAAACCCTAGGGGGCAGTTCTATTCTGTCCTGAAACACAGGTTGCTATGAGTCAAAATTGACTCAGTGACGGTGGGTTTGGGTTTTTTGGTGCTGAGACTTCCTGAGTGCCTAGGGGATGCACACGGTGGATACACTCGGCTGGTCACTGAGAAGTTGGAGGTTGGAGCGCACTCAGAGACACCTTGGAAGAAAGGCCTGGAAGTCTGCTTCTGAAATGTCACAGCCATTGAAGACCCCATGCAGCACAGTTTTACTCTGACACACATACATGCAGTTGGAGTTGGAATCGACTCAATGACAAATGGTAAACTAGTACTGAATATTCTAGATCCGTCCCCCAAAGCGCTCCTTCTCTTCCCTGCTCCTGGGGTTGTTACCTCTGGCCTGGCCTGGGAGTATCCAGCTTTGTCTCCCAGGCTAACCTCTCCAGAGCTGGGGTACTGCTGGGCGGAGGCTCAGGGAAATCTCTCTGGGGAGGGCTTCTTTCTCCCTCACCCCCTAGCACACCCCACAGTGCTGCTCTGCAGAGACCACCTGCCTCCCCTAAAAGATGGAGATAGGCCTGGAGACCAACGGGGACCAGTCTGGGAAGGATTGCATTCCCAGGCAGACTTGGGCTCGAATCCTAGCTCCACCACTTACAAGCACTGTGATGTTAGATGAGCTCAGTGACTTCCACGTGCCTCAATTCACTCACCCTTAAAATGGGGATTGTACGAGTATTTTCCTCAAAGGGTTGTCTGGGGATTGAATGACATAATGTGTGTGAAACCCTTATCTTAACACCAAGCCTGGCACACTGTAAGCACCCAATAAATATTAGATCTAATTGTTATTTATTTATTCCTTACATTATAGAAATGCTACAATGGAAACATGATCAGTACAATCAGCTTTCAATAGGGAATTCAATACAGTAAACTAACAATTTGGGGTTGACAAGGGGCTTTTTGAACTGGGTTTTGCTGTATGCATAGGAGTTTGCTGGGTGGAGTAACAGCTTCAGGACCAATAAACATTTTCTGACAGATCCCTATGTTCAGGGTCACCTGGGGTATCTGTTCCCAAAGGTGGGTGAGTGGTAGGGGAGTCTAGAAATCTTGCTTGAGGTGTAGACCCCAGACAGGGTGGTGGAATTTTGAAGTCCAAACCCTTTGACAGGTGGAGAAACTAAGGCCCAGAGAGATTTAAAAGCCTAAGGCACTGGACTGCTAACCAGAGGGCTGGTGGTTCAAACCCACCAGCAACTCCTCGGAAGGAAGATGGGGCAATCTACTTCCCTAGTGATACTGCCTTGGCAACCCAAGGAGGGGTCGCTATGAGTCGGGTCCGACAGCACATAACAACAACAACAACATACTTTTTGGATTCTCGCACTTTTCATTCTAAAAATCAGATAAAAAACGTGGACCTTCTCCCCAGGAAATGCATCTTTGCCCAAAGTTAGTATCTGTTTTTCTTTGTTGTTGTTGTTATTGAAAATATATACATCAAAACATACACCAATTCAACAATTTCTCCATTCACAATTCAGTGACCTTGATGACATTCTTCAAGTTGTGTAACCATTCTCACCCTTCTTTTCCCGATTGTTCCTCTGCCATTCACATAAACTCACTGCGCCCCCCGCCCCCCAAGCTTCCTACCTAACCTTTGGAGTGGCTGTGGTCAATGGATCCCAAAGAGAGAGTTCTTCAAAGCAGCACGATGTTCAAGTTTGCGCAGTTTTGCCTACATATTTAGGGGCCTCTGGATTAAAAACCTCAGTCTGGTTAAAATCCAGGCTCCAGGCACCAGGTGAGTTTCCAGCCTCACCCTCGGAATTCTCCTTGCCCGAGGGAAAGGCTGTCGTGTGGCCGTGGGAGGGCCTCCCAGGTGAGGCCAAGCCGCCTCAAATCCGAGCCCCACCCCAGGGCCACCTCCAGCTCAACTTCTCCCCGAAATCCCGGGCCCCTGCAGCCCCGTTCCATGCGCCCCTCAAGCCCCCGCCTCAGTCCCCGCGCTGGCTCGGCGCCCGCCTCCATTCCTCCAGCCCCTTGGAGTCGTGCCTGGAGCCCCAGGCCCTCCCCTAGCTCCAGCCCCTCCCTCGGCCCCGAGCCCCCCGCCTCCGTCCCGA